CTTATAATTTGCTGTTACTTTGTAAACAGTACATTTCACTTTGCATCAGCTCATGTAAGTCTTTCCAGGTTTTTCTAAGAGCATCCTGCTCATCATTTCTTATAGTACAATAGTATTCCATCATAATCACATACCACAATTTGTTCAGCCATTCACCAGTTGATGGGCATACCCTCAATTTTCAATTCTTTGCACCCAGAAAAGAGCTGCTATAAATATTTTGTACATATAGGTCCTTTTCCTTTTTGGTTTTTTTTCCTCTCTTTTGGGATACAGACTTGTTAGTGGTATTGCTAGCTAAAAGGGTAAACATTGGCAAAGATACTGGCATCTTTGGTTTGCCATTTCCTTCTGAAGGCCCTTCCTCTGATTGGATGGCTCCTCCCAAAACCCCAACCATCTCTTCATTTCCCACCAAGCTAAGGTTCTCCATCATGCCTCACTCCCTCCTCTCTTCCTTCTTAGCTTCCTCTTACGAGGTGTTTTCCTCCTCCCTTAGAATATTGAGTCCTTCAGGTCGGGGATAGTCTTTTTGCTTGTATTTGTATTCCCAGGGTTTAATATGGTGCCTGGCACATAGTAAACAGTTAATAAATGCTTGTCAACTTAATGTCACCTGAGAAGGATACATGGACAAGCAGTACAGTTTTGGGACTACCACCATTAAACTGAAATGTACGAAAACCCAAAATGCGGATATTGGAGGTCATGGCTTCATTGGCAACCTTCCTTTCCTATTGTTTGTCTAGGGAAATGTTCATATCTGTTGATGCCTGTCAAGTATGTATTTAAATAGAAAAAAAAAAAAGCCAGAAGCAAGAAGGACTGATAAAATGTCACCAGCATGGCATAGGACTTTTTCTACAGTGAAGAAATGAGCTAGAAGCCTCTCCTCACAGAGCTACCACCTACACTGGCTGTTCCCTAAAGGACTGAATGACTGTACATATACTCTTCCATAAATAAACTTTTCCAGGGTATGTAAACTGTATTTGAGTTGTTTTTTCATTTCCCTAGAAAAACCAGGGACTTTCCACCTGACTGCTCACTACTAAATGATAGAGAATGGACAGGGGACACAAACAACCTTCCCAGCTCTGAAAATTATCATTTCTAACCCAGAACTCATAGTCTGGTGGGAAATAGAATGCTGAGACTTCTTCCTAATGAATATTGTTCTCTGAGTTCAACTGTCATGGGAAATGGAGTTCTGGGACCTTTTTCCCCTCAACACTGCCTACTATCATAGGTATCAGTGGACCATGGGCAGTGAGGTGGCACAGTGGATAGAGCACCGGATTTGGAATCAGGAAGACTCATCTTCATGAGTTCAAACCCAGCCTCAGACACTTGCTAGATGTGTGACCCTGGGCAAGTCACTTAATAACCCTGTATGCCTCAGTTTCCTCACCTGTGAAATGAGCTGCAGAAGGAAATGGCAAACCACTTTGCCAAGAAAACCTCAAAATGGAGTCATGGAGAGTTGGACACAACTGAACAATATCAGTGTACCTGTCAGCTCATCTTCATTAGAGAATTAGGTCTTTAAGGTCTTTTATCATTGACTATATGGTTTTTCATCTTTATATTCCTCATAATGTAACACAAGAACCTGCATATGAGAGTCATATATTAAACATTTCTTAACTTGAACAAATGTCCTAAAGAATAGTTTTGCTATTGTTTCAGATTTCAGGAAAATTGGGTCAAAATTGCACTTTCTCTGCCACTTCCTCTTTATCTGGGCATCCAAGGACCTCTGAAGTCTCCAACCTGCTTTTTCAGCCTCAATTCACTTTATTTCCCTTTAATGTTCTTGCCAAAGTAGATTTTTAGTCACTCTCCAAACTCTCCATTTCCCATTCTTTTGTCTACTTGCCTTCATATCTAGTACTTTATTGGCTTTGGTCATGGGGAAGTCATTTAACTTCCCTGTTTCTTAATAATTGGGGATGACAGCAGTAGCGCCTACTTCTCAGGGTTGTAAGGCTCAAATGAGATAATAATGCAAAACACCAGGCAAACTTGAAAGTATTACACTAGGTGTCCCGATAGTCTTAAGCTATTAAAGCTGCCAACAGCAGTCAGACTTTTGGGACACTCTGTATTAATATCACTTATTATTTCTTGCATCTACCTCTAAGAATCTTTGTCTTTATGATAGTTTTAGTTCAGGTGTTCTTTCAGTCATTGGTGCTATATTCCTCTCAAATGACCTTATATTTACTTAACTGTATATATGGAGTCTGTGCCCAAAGTAGAATGTGACCTCATTTAGGGAGGAGCTTCCATTTTGTTTTTGTTTTGTCTTGTATCCCCAATGCCTAGGCATGCATTGCACAATGCAGACACTTAATGATAATCTGATAATCAAACTGAGTTTGATATAGCACTAATTAGTGTCATCTCTTCCCTTCTCTAGGCCTCAATTTCTTCATCTGTAAATGAGAGGGATGCAGCAGATGACCTCCCAGGTCTCTTCTAGCTCTGATCTTGATCGTCTTCAACAGGTAGAGATGTGGCAGGAATGCCTTCTGTCCCAAGGGTGCCAGCTTTAGGAATTCAGAGATGTGAGAGAGCACAGAATGAGACCGGAGAGTGGCTGTTAGTTTACTTTGGTGGGACTCCAGAGTGATAAAGGAGAGTAATGTGAAATAAGGCTGGAGGAGTAGGGTAAGGCCATATGTAAGGCTCTGACTGCCAGGATAACGGTTATATTTTGTCCCGTAGACAATGGTGAGCCCCTAAATATTTTTGGCAGAATAGTGGCAAGGTAAGACCAGGGAACTGGGAAATTGATAGTACTTGTGACCTTGGGACTAAACAGAAATCACAGATACTTTCAAATCACGTTATAGGTGTTGCCAATACCTCCAAATATCATTTATGCTCATTACTACTTTAAAATTATGGCATTCGATTAGACCCATGATAGATTACTACAATCACAAATTTTAAAAAAAAACTATTTAAATAACTATTTCAACACAATTGATTTCCTTTGTAATTTTATGTATTTTATTTTATACATTTTAAAACATTCTGAGAAGGAGCCCATAGAAATACCAGATTGCCGAAGGGACCCAGGACATAGAAAAAGTTTATAGACCCATGTAGTGTGATGACTGAATTCAAAAAAGACATTCTAACCTCACTCAATATGCCCGTAATTTGACCCAGATTCTTCTTTCATGTTAATCTTATTCCTAGCTAGGCTATGAAGAACTGTTTATAGTATTTGCTCCCAGTAAGGGCTGGTCACCCCTCCAGGAACCGGATATTCATAAACAGGAATATCAGATCACTCATACCCACAAGGCAACTCTCATCCCCCACCACGTACCATCTTTGCAAAAGCTCTCCTCCCCAAAATTCTTGTCCTAATGGTATCTGCACAGGTAGTGCAGGTCAAAAGATCAGCAGAAATTCTTACAAGCTCTCCCTCCACAGGGGTGCTAAGTCGTCTAGTGGCTTTGGAGCTTGTCTCCCAAGTAAGGGAATATTCCCCTGCGGAGAAGCAAGGTGTTGATATATAGATAGTGGCCCATAGAGAAGTGGCAAGCGTAAATGAGGTGGTATAAACTTCTGAGAAAGTCATATTGGGGTCACATCTTGGGCAAGGCCCTGGAGGTGTCCGTCCCAGGGGCTTCCTCCAACGAGGCGCCTTGGAGGGGCACTTCTTGGACCAGTGACCCTCCTGGTTGCATCGAAAGCAGGTTTTCCCCCTGCCCAAGTTGCCAGGAACACCCTGACCATGGCAGCGGCCAGGAATGGAGCATGTTCTTTGTCTCTAGCCCTCTTCCTGCATTCTTTCTCCTCTGATGCAACTAGGCCTCTGAAGACTCCAAAGGCCATCTCCAATAACTGTGCCTGAGGTATTTGGGGTCCCATTGCTAATTTCTGTAGTTTTCTCCTAATATCTGGGGCAGATTGGTTAATGAAATACATGCTAAGGATTGCTGCCCCTTCTGTAGAGTCAGGATCTAAATTAGTATACTTTTTAATGGCTTCTACTAGTCTATCTTGGAAGAGGGCAGGGTTTTCCTTTTCTCCCAAAGTTAATTCTCTTAATCTTCTGAAAGTTTACTGGCTTTTGAAATGCTGTTTTCAAACCTTCTATCAGCCAAATTATCATATGGTCTCTCTTTCCCCCATCCTCACTCTTCCGATAATTCCATCCCAGATCACTAGCAGGAACTGCAGCTATTCCTGGGGGGTATAGTGTGGGGTCATTGCTTGCACAAGGATTCCCCAAGTTTTGGGCTTGTTCCCAGATTCTCTTCCTCCCCTCAGTGGTACAACAGGTAGAGAAGAGGACATGCAAATCACTCCAAGAAAGCTCAAATTGTAGGGACACATCCCTGAAGCCTTCAGTAAACTTAGGATCTTCAGAGCATCGCCCCAATCTGTCCTTAACCTGGTTGAGGTCTGAAATGGAGAATGGAACATGCACCCTAAGTGTCCTATCAGCCGAGACAGGTACTTCAATTAAAGGAAGAAGCCCTGAAGGCCCTGCAGGAGCAGGGGCTTGTGGGGGAGGGAGATAGGAAGTTCCACTTCTCATGAGTGAGGGACTGGAAAGCGCCGGCTGAACTGGCAAGGCCGAGGAATCTGGCTGGCAAGGGGAAAGATTACCTGACGCTGGAGGAGGGGGAGGGGTCAGGAAAGGAGATACCAAGGCTAGGCCCTTGTCAGAGTCTGAGCAGGGGTCTCCTTGGAAGCAGAGGATGAGGCCAGGCCCTTGCTCAAGGCCTGAATAGAAGTCATCTCCAGAGTAGGGGCCTGGGGAGGAAATGCAAGAGCCAGAGGAAAAGGGAAGGAAAGCCAAGGGAAAGAGGAGATGGGCAAGGAGGAGGGGGCATGGGAAACAAGGGGGGCCAGTTATTCCCGCTCAGGGAACCATAGGATAAGGTCTAGAGATTTAGGGGTGCTGGGATCCCCAGATCACGACTCACGGGCCCTGCCTGAATGAATTCAACCCAAACTTTCTTTCAGCCAGAGAAAAAGTTTATTAAAATCACACAGGCCAGACTCTTAAGGAATCTGAACGTTAGTAATGCCCATAAGGACGAGGGGGCATGAGAAAGTCTCAAGTGTTTAAATGGGGGCCAGAGTGGATCTTATATACACTCAAGTAATTTTGGGTGACCAGGTGAGAACTCCAATTTGGAACATCTTGAGAGATTGAATAGATGATGGGAATAGATAATGAAGGGAAGGAATGGAAGGAAGAAGTTTGAAAGGCATCTGAATAAAACCAAAAGGTGGGGCTAGGGCATTCAAAGGGAGATAAGGCAGTGGATAAGGAACTGTTTGAGACAGTTATGAGTAAGAAAAGTTTAAGGGTTTTCAGGGGCCTGTAGACAAATGGGAGCCAGATTCTTTGTGGGGGCAAGGGGCAAAGGTCTCGGCTTGGGCCCATACCCCATCACCCCCACTCCGTGCAGGCATTGTGTGTCTGTCCACCACTCCATCCTGCTCCCCCTTCCACACTGGGCTCCCTCCATCCTTTCATTCTCCCCCTCCTCCTTCCCATTGAAGGGCAGGAGACCAAAGCAGCCCAAAAAAGGAAAAAACAGGTTTATAAGGGTTACATGAAGTGGAGGCAGGGGCCCCCTCTGGAACTCGCCCTGGGTTATTCTGCTCTCCCTGCTCCCCTGTGTCTAGCAGAGAGGGTGCAGCAGGAATTCCCAGAGGCCTGAGGGGCTGAGGACCAGGAACAAAAAGCTGATGTGTAGGATCTCGAGGTCACTGGAGGTTAGAAAGCAGTGAGGGGCAGGGGACAGATCCCTCCTCGCCCTTCAGGGGGAAGTTATGTATGCATTTTAGGATGTGCTGAAAGAATTTTGTAGACATTTTCTCTGAGGCTCTAATGAGTGGATCCTGAAAGATCCAGAGAGTGATGGGGGCGAAGAGGAAACCTGGGGGCACCTCAATTCAGGTATCATCAAAGAGCATCCCAGAGAAGTATCTAGTGCACTGTGCAAGGTGACAGAAGGGGTCAGAGGCCAGAGGCCAGAGGGCTATGCTGAGTCTGATTCAGAGTCAGAGAGTAGTAGAGAGTAGAGGGTGGGCGGTGAAGGGTCAGGTGTCAGGCAGGCTGCCGACGAAGCGAGCGAGGGATCAGAAGGTGATGTTCTCCTCGTACAAAGACAGTACCAGCAGGATGGCCCAGCCGCTGAGGAGCCCCAGATTGTGCAGGAAGAAGAGCAGCCAGGGCCTCTTGTCCTTCTCGTTCATCATCGACGGCAGCTAACAGAGGAAAGGAGGCAGGGTCACCGCGTGGTGTGTCTCCGCTACCCCGGCACCAGCCGCCCACTTCTCTGCCCCAGCACTGACCATGTCACAGAGTGCCACATAGAGGAAGAGCCCAATGGCGACCGCGAGGATCCAGATCTCACTTTGCTCATTGGACCCGATCCCCAGAGCCACGTAGAGCCCAGCAAAGGCCGTCAAGCTCGACACCAAGTTCAGCAGCAGGGCACGACTCACGGACAGCCCTGCATGGAGCAGGGCACCAAAGTCGCCTGGGGAGAGGAAGGAGATCAGTGCAGGGCATCTGATGCTTCTCTCCCCCTGCGTCACCCACCTTCTAGGACTCCGGGCCAGCCCCCATGAGCCTGGGCCTGCTCGTTCCCTGGGATCGAGAAGTTGGGGATAGATGCCTCACCGAGTTCATGGGGCACCTCATGGCACAGAACAGCCAGGGAGGTGGCCAGACCCGTCTTCCATGAAGCAGTAAAGGCAGCGCCCACAGTCAACCCATCCGCAAAATTGTGAATGGCATCTCCAAGGGTGATCATGTAGGGGAGAAGCTGCAGCTCTGGAGGAAGGGGAGAGAGAAGCCAGGGGTCACCAGGCAGTCTGGGGAGGGGAGTCTCAGGGAATCCTCAGGGGGTTCATATAGGTGAGGGCGGCTCTTCCAGGTACTTTCCAAGAATTCTATATTGAAGAGATTTTTGTAAAAGGAAATCTTCATTCAGGGTACCCCTTTCCCTCCCCGCCAGGAAGGTCACTTTCTCTTCTGCAAAATGGAGGTTTTGGATTAAATTATATCTAATGTCCCTACAGGGGCAACCAGGTAGCTAAGTAGGGCCTGGGCCTAAAGTCAGGAAGATCTGAGTTCAAAACCGGCCTCAGACACTTGCTTGCTGTGTGACCCTGGGCAAGTCACTTAACCCCAACTGCTTCCACCCCCCCCAAAAAGTGATCTAGACCAAACCCCTCCATTTATAAAGGAAGAAACTGAGGCCCAGAGAGGGACAGTGATTTGACCAATGTCACATAAGTAACAGAGCTGGGATCCAAATCCTCTCACTCCACATCCAGTTCTCTCTCCACTACACCAAGCCCTCTGTGGTATGGCTCCCACCGACCTCTTCATTATTAGTTCATAGTATTCCTTTTCACTTACCCTCTGTTCAGTCAAATTGACTGACTACTACCACCTAATATGTAGACAGTCTCAGGAAACCGTCCGAAAGAAGCTAAGTGATTTGCCCAGGAACACAACAAGTGGGATTTGAACTCAAATCTTCCTGGCTTGAAGTCTAATACTTTATTCCAGGCAAGTCTAGTCTACTGCCTATTCCTAAACTCGACATTCTACCTCCTGCATCAGCTGTTAGTGCTCACTTTCTCTCTCTCTCTCCTTCCCTCAATCTCATCTCCTCTCCTCTTCTCTCTCTCTTTTCTCCTTCTCTCTCTCCCCCTGTCCCTCTCTCCATCTCTGTCCCCCTCCCTCCCTTGGTCTGTCTGTCTGTCTGTCTCTCTTTTTCGATCCCTTCTCTCTCTCTCCCTCCATCCCTCCCTACCTCCATCTGTAGCTCTCTCTCTCAGTGTCATTGTATAACTTTGTATATACTTTTTGGTTTACAAATAATATCTTTGAGGGTAATGCCTGTTCCCTTTATAAAAGGGATGTGTATCCCCAACGCCTGACACACAGTAGGAACTTATTAAATCATCCTCAAATGCCATCTCCTCCATTAAGTCTTCCTGATTCCCCACAGGCTTATTAACACCTTTTCTCCCAGACTAGCATTGCACCTAGACTCTGCTTGTACCTCTCAAAAACACTTAATTAACATTACAAATCTCTGTGTTTGTGTTTTGCTTCTTCTAAATTCTAAGTTCCATGAGACAAGGGCTGTGTATTTCCTTCAGCACACACTAGGCATAAATGAAGAGATGGTACCATGGAACAGTCTTCATAAAAGAGAGTTTTTTTTTCACAAAAAAATGTTTTTTGTGAGCTAGTGGAACAGACAGGGAAGGCTTTCTCTAAGAGTGGAGAGTTGAAAGAGAGGAAGGATGTAGAGAGGTGGGAAGGAGGGTGTGGGGAGGGGGTGTTTGGGAGGGGCTCTCTAGGTAGGGGGAGCAAAGACATGGGGACAGGAGCCCACAAAGCACATTCAGTGAAAAGATAAGAGACCAGCTTAGAGAGGTAGTCTGAAATCAGGTCATGGAGAGCCCTGAATATGGGGCTGACATGTATGAATTTTCTCCGGAGGAAATGTGGTATGTTGAAAAGTGCCCAGATTTGGTGTCAGATTATTGGGGTTCAAACTCTGGCTATGTGATCTCAGGTAAATCCCTTCCTCTCTCAGAGCCTGACCCATCCTTAGAAATGTGATGTAGTGAAAAGGGGGCACTAGGCTTAGCCGTAGGAGACCTGAGTTAGAATATTGGCTTTGTCATTTACTAGTCATTTGAGCTTGGCCAAGTCACTTTCTATCTGGGCCTCTCTTATCACATCTGTAAAATGGGGGTGACGTTCACATTGTCTGCCTTACTGGAGTGTTGTGGAGGAAGAAATATTTCGTAAACATTAAGGGGCTATAAGAGTCCTTCTGGCTTTAAAGCTCACGATGCCACTGGTAAAGGAGAACTGAGGGAGGAACCCAGCTTTAGGATGTGGAGGAGGTGGCAGGGGTGAATAACCCTGGAAGGGATGAGATGGAGAAGGAGGACAGTGCTTGGAAATGAAGAGGAAAAGACAGAGGAAGGGACAGTCAAGGCTGGGGGACAGCAGAGCCCGGGCAGAGAAGCCTGCTCAGTGCCTGGCTTACCTCGGTTCAGTTTTTTGTGATCCTTATCAGAAAGCTCTGGGTTGCCATCTGATACCTGGGGAGGAAGAAGGGGAGGCAGATGCTCGGGGAGGTTGGTCAGAGGTCAGGCCTCACCCAGGCTCCTGCCATGACCCGACCAGTCCAGGTTCATAGATGTGGTTTGGTGGACCCTTGGGGAGGCTGATTGGTGAACTCCTGAAAGTTGGCTTGACCCTTCTTTCTGGAGGTCCTCCTACCTGTGGGCAGGGAAGCTCAAGGAACTTCTTTGGGCTCCCTGGAGCCAAGGACATTCCTTCCTATTGTCCTCCTCCCCACTGTACGGGAAAGGGGCTCGGAAAGTAAGGGCGAGTGGGGAGGAGAGAATGGTGGGCTTGGGAGCTAGAATTTGTGCAGGAGAGGGGCTGGGGCTGGGCTGCTGCTACATATGCATGCTGTAGCAGCCTCTAGGGAAGGCTTCCTTTATTTCCTTTAACCCCAGCCTCTAGCACTGAGTCTTGACCAGAAGAGGCCCTTAACAAATGCTGGCTGAATGGTCTGGAGGCTGGGCTGTGGTCGCTGACATTACCAGGTCTGTCCTCGAGCCTTCCTGCTGCTGTGGCTGCCTCTGGTGTGACAGTTCATCCGTCACCAGCTGCAGGGACATTCCATGGCTGTGGTTGCAGGTGCTGTTGTCCTCTTTGTCCTGCAGGGACAGTGGATGTCCATCGCCAAAGTCCAAGGGACACTCTGCCTCCTCTCTCTCCCCCAGACGCTGACTCTCGGTCAACCCTCCCCACCCCCAGCCCTAAACACTCTCTGTCCCCTTTCCCCATCACCTCTTCAACTGCTGGGGTCCCCTCACCTCTGAAGGCCGGGACGTCAGGATGTTGAAGAGGTTCTCAAGGAGGAATAAGGCATAGAAGCCACCCAATGCACCCAAGAGCCTCCACACAAACTCAGGACTCTCATGCTCGCTGCTTTCCTCCCCATGGGAATGTTGGCCTAGCACCTGGAGGGAGACAGCCAGGGAGACATAAGGGTGTATCTTTTTTGCCTTTTTTTTTTTTAAATTAAAGTTAAATGACTTGCCCAGGGACACACAGCTAGTAAGTGTCAAGTGTTTGGTCTGAAGTCAAATTTGAACTCAGGTCCTCCTGACTTCAGGGCCCGGTGCTCTATCCACTGCGCCACCTAGCTGTTCCCTTGCCTTTCTTTTTGTCCCCAGTACTTAGCACAGAGCCTGGAATGCAGCAGGCACTTAAGGATCACTGATGGCCTGACTGACTCTAGGGCATAGCAGCTGGGACGTGACAGTCATCAGAGGGTAGGGAGGGAGAGGGACATTTTACTCATTTCTGGGGAGATTGAAAACTAATGTGTTGGGACAGCTAGATGGCGCAGTGGGTAGAGTACTGGCCCTGGAGTTGGGAGGACCTGAGTTCAAATCCGTCCTCAGACACGTGATACTCACTAGCTGTGTGACCCTAGGCAAGTCACCTAACCCCATTGCCTAGCCTCCTCCCCCAAAAAAAGAAAAGAAAACTGAAGTGTTGAGCCGGACCCTAGATCAAGGTAAGCACTGGCAAAGGGGAGACCTCATCTGCGTCCCCACCTTTTAAACTGTCCTAAGACTCAGGGGGCAATTGTGGGGGGAGGGGTTGTAGAAGGGGTCACGGCCCGAGTGGGGGACAGGTCAGGCGGCACTTTGGGAGGACCTACCTTAGGGATGAGATGAAGCACGGCATCTCCAGTGAGGGAACCCACGGCCATGCCCAGGAAGGCTTGGATGACGTAGTGGGAGACATTTTTGCAGGAGGCGCAGAACACAATCACCAGGCCAAAGAGGGAGGCGAGGCAGATGATCAGTGTGGCTAGGGAGCTATATAGGTATTCTGTGGGTACAGGCAGGGGAGGAGACGTTAGGGCTGAGAACAGGTCACTGCGGGCCCCTTCCTCTCCTAGGGCAGAGGCACGTGAGGAGTGTGGCTAGAGAGCTATCCTGTGGGCACAGGTAGATGAGAAGAAGGTAGGACTGGGGACAGACAAGTCACTCACTGCCCCCTTTTCTCCTGGGGCTCCCATGCACGGGGAACCTTGGGCTCTTTCCCTTCTATGCTGAAAATCATGGAGATGGGAGAAAGGGAGAGAGGGGAAGGGTTGGGACAAAACAGGAATGCTTGATTTGGAAATCCCACTGTGATGCAAACACCCTGCTCCCTCCCCCACCAAAAATGATCTTTAAGAACGGAGGGAATGAGGAGGGTGTTGAAACAGGAAGAACCGAGAGGGCCAAGCTCAGGGAGGAAGGGTGGGAAGGAATGGTCCAGATTTTAAGGTGGAAACTTTTTTAAAGATTTATTTTCATTTTCAGTTTCAAATTACCTCCTTCCCTCCACTTCTCCCCCACCTATTGAAAACACAATACAATACCTATTCTATATAGGAAGTCATGCAAAATCTACTTAAAGTGGAAAGGGATTGAGTGTCTGTGCCCAGCATAACATTCCTTCCTGGTAAGTCATGCATTCCAGAACTGGAAAGACCCTCAGAAGGCATCTAGTCCAACCTGAACCTGAGCTGAAATCTCTTCTGCAACGTTCCACACAAGTGGCCACCCAGTCTTTCTCTGTGAAGACTTCCAGGGACACAGAGCTCACTACCTTTCAAGGCAACCTGTTCCATTTGGGCTAGGCTGTAATTATTGGGAAGCTTTTTCTTGGAGGAGAGAGGCGATGTAGCATAGTGCAGGGATGGGGAGCCTGCGACCTTTTCGACTGGCTGCACTTGAGGATCTAGAAGGCCACATGTGGCCTCAAGGCTGCAGGTTCCCCACCCCTAGCATAGTGCATGGTGTGCTGAATTTAGAGGTCAGGAAGACCAGGGATCGGTCCTGCCTCTTGGACGGTCACTCACAGGGACCTTCTCTCCCAGAGGATGGATTCTCTGTGGCTGCCTGTTCCCACAACCTTTGCTGCTATGGCCAGGTGATATTCTAGTAGGGCTGGCCTATGATTGAGGCTGGGCTAGGAAAGGACTAAGAGACTACCTGCCCTCTCACCCAACTCCCCTCAGGCGGCAAGAGAAGGACAAAAGGAAGTAGCCCCAAAGGCCAAGCTGGGTGAACGTGGACTGAGAGGGATGAGGTCTCTGTGGTCTCAGCGCTAGAGGCCAGCCTCTGGTGGGTGACACTCACTTTCGGTGACACTGAGGTCCCCTTGGGCAGGGAAGTGCACATCTACTAGGCAGGCCCCACTGAGCTGCTGCTGGAGTAGGGCTGGGCTAAGCTGGGCCCAGGCATGTGGGGACACGCCTTCCTTTTCTGATATCCCATACACCTCCAGGACATCAGAGGCACTCAGGCATACCTAGGGGCAGAGACAGAAATGGAATTAGGAAGTAGGGGAAAAAGTACTTCTCCACTGCTTTCCTTTCTTCTCCTGCTCCTCTTCTTCCTGACTTACCGTGTCCCATACGCTGTCAGAGTCCCCCAGGTGGGCCTTTGGAGGAGTCCTTGTCTGGCGGCTAGCCCTCCCTTCCAGGCTGTGCTCTCTGTGCTGGTGCTGGTGCTCTTCATTGCTGCCATGGGGATGGACCTCAGTCTCCTTCCCCACATGCAGCTGGCTCATCAGAGCCTGCAACTCTGGGTAGGGAAAGGAGGGTGCTGCTGTTAGCCTCAACTCCTTCTCTTCTTCTATACCCTCACCTCCCCCTCAACTGCTGCTGCCTTCAGGAAGCCTTCCAGGACTGCCCCACTTCTCCAGGAATATCTGGACTGAGCGCAGTGCTCTTTTCACGTGGTGGGTGCTTAATAGATGTTGGCTAAGTTGAATCAAGGATTGGGAGGGAGGGAGCGAGAGAGGTGGAGAGATGTGTGTATAACAGGAGCTGAAAGGTGCATTACCCTATCTTCACACTGACTGGGATGGGTTGGATACTTTAGCGCCTCATGGGCCTCTTCCTAAACCTGTTATTCCATTCCTTGCCCTCTAGGGCCTTTCTCCCATAAGTCTCCTTTCTTCCTGAATCCAAACACTTCTACACCCAGAGGTCAAACAAAGCTTTCCCTAAAGGGATCCCATCTGAAGACCCCCTACCCTGAGGTCCATATTTCTTTCCCATCCCTCCCGTTCATCTCTTACTCCTTACCAGATAGAGTGAGGTTCTGTGACTCATCGCCATGAAGTCGGAAGACGAAATCAACAAAGTACTGGGGACTGGGCAGGACGTGGAAGCAGGACCCAGCTAGGGCGTGGTCCAGGAGGACAGCCAGAGCCCGGCTTGGACTTTGGCCTTCAGTCCCTGGGGCTCCTGCTGCTTCCTCCAAAATCTGGTGTATGTCCACACAACTCTGTGGATCAGAGACCAGAACTCAGGCCCCTCCCCACCCTAGCCCACCTACTTCTTCTCCCCACAGAGCTGTGGAGGGGGTGGGGAGGGGCAGGGTTGTTTGCTTGTGGCAAGGTAGAGGGTGAGAATTAGGGAATGCAGATAGGCCCAAAATATGCATTTCAAGCCCTGACCTCTTCTTTGAACTCCAGCCCTACATCTCCAGCGGCCTAAGATCATCTCCACCAGGATATCCAACTTCACATGCATACCCCTAACTCAACTTGTTTCTTACCTTTCCCCCTGAAACTGTTCCTCTGGTACCATGTGCCTAATCATCTAGGTTTGAAGCTCAGTCCCCTTCTCTCTGAGCTTCTCTATGCAATCAATCCTCAAGACCTTTTGATACCATCTCTACACCTTTCAAATCCATCTTCTTGATTCACACTGCTACTGACTTAGTTCAGGCCCTAGATCTCTGGCCTTCCAGCCAGCCTCCAGGCCCTCCCCTCTCCAAATCAGCTTTTGAAAAGCTTGAAGAACAATCTTCCCACTACACATGGTATTAGGATTTAGAGCTGCTAGCACCTTAGAGATCATGCTGTCCCACATCACTTCCTCCTTTAAAACTTTCAATGGTTCCCCACTGCCTACAAGTTAGTCCAAGCACCTTAGCTCAGAGTCCAAACCCTGCCCTCCCCCCCCATTTTAAAGATGGCGGAAACAGGTCCAGAGAGAAGGAAAGAGATATTCCCAAGGTTATACACAGCCAGGGCTCAAGCGCAGAGCTCTTCCCTTTCATATGCCTTGTACTTTTCCCCTGACACAACCAGGTCCTCACCTCGCCTGGCTCTCCTTGGTAGTGCCCTTGGATCTGCTGAAGAAGTTGGTTTAGGATGTTGGGGTAATTGGCCCCAGCAGAGGCCAAGGAAGCCAGGAGGCTCTCTGCCTGGGAGCCCCAACTGCCAACCTGGATAGCAGCACAAGTGCCCTCTGGATCCCTGAGGTAGAGAGTGATCCCGGCACAGAATTTGGTAACATTCTGGGAACTCAGAATCCAACCCTGCCCTGCCAGGGTCAAGGCATTCTCCACGGTCATGCACTGCAGGTACAAAAAGGCAGTCCGAGAAGTCAGGGTAGTAATCAAGGTAGCCTTGGGGGGTTTGGGGAATAAGCATTTAAAAAGCAATTTTTGCAAATATTATCTCATTTGATCTTTACAACAACCCTGTGAGGTAGGTACTATTATTATCCCCGTTATACAGTTGAGGAAACTGAGGCAGACAGAGGTTCAGTGGCCTGCCCAGGGTCACGCAGCTGGCAAATGTCTGAGGTGGAATTTGAACTCCTGACTCCTGGCCCAGTTCTCTATCCACTGCCCCACCTCAGGGGAAGAAAAGGCCAGGATTCCTCGTCTCCAGTCCTCCCCTTGGCTGGCCCTATCTTTCCTCTGAATCCCTGTTCCCCCCCCCCCATATTCTGCCTCTACCATTCCCCAACTCTAAACTCCATATAGTTATTCCAAGCATCAGCACCATGCTCAGGTCCCCCAGGATGAGGGCACAGCATGTGCCAGACGCACCTCCAGGCATCAAGTCAGGAAGCTGGGGACTGTGTACTCCTGTGCTCACAAATGAAGAACAATAGAAAGGAAGTAAGGACCCCACAGGGGTGAAGTCCCACTGTAGACCTAGATACAGGTGACTCTGTGAACCGCTGCCCCCTCTGCCTCATCGTTCTCCTTCACACAGACATAAAGTACTCTCTCACAGAAAGGGCTCTGAGCTTTGTCGCCCACCCCTGTGTGAAGGTGCTGTGTCTTCTTCTTACACACATAAAGCTTCCATCACAGAAAAAGATGTCAGGGTGTCTCTCCCACCCCCCCATTCACACACATACACAGAGGACTCACAAGGGAAGCCTCTCTCACACCCAAGCAAGCCACATCCCGTAGTTGTCTAACATACATATAAGACTGCTATCCAAGCGCCATCTTTCTCATACATGGAAGACCTTCTGTCTCTTTCTCCTACCCATATGTACCAGTTCTTTCTCTCTAACATACACCCATAGAAGTGCTTTCTTTCTCTCTCTCTCTCTCTCTCTCACACACACACACACACACACACACATACACTCTCTCACACACACTCACACACACATACACTCTCACATACACACACACTCTCTCACACATACACTCTCACACACACACATATACTCTCTCACACACACAAACACACACATACACTCTCACTCATACACACACTCTCTCTCACACACACACTTTCTCACACATATATACTCTCACACACACATACACTTTCTCACACACACACTCTCTCTCACACACACATACACTCTCACGCATATACTCTCTCACTCATACACACACTCACACACACAAACACACATACTCTCTCACACACACACTCTCACACACACACTCTCTCATACACACACACACACACTCTCTGTCACACACACATACACACTCTCTCTCTCTCTCTCACACACACACACACACACACACAGTGCCAGCTGTCCCATTTGCTCATGAATGCAGATGGGAGGTTCATTGCAGTCTCTCACTCAGAGGAGAGGGAGAGAGAATGTACAATCAGTGGCCCCTAGGCCCCACCCGCACCTCTGCCACCAGGGTGACTTTGAGCCTCTCAGCTAAGAACCTGAGGGATAGGATCGGGCCCTGTGGGGAAGTCTGAAGCTTCAAGGCAAAAAGGGAAAAGAGGGGAAAGACAAAAAAGGGGGAGAAAGGACGCTAGTCTGTCTTGGAGCCCCAGGCTGCCCTTCCGTAGAAGGGCACAAGCTCCTCTCTTCTTCCTATGGAAATTTCTTCTCCCATAAAGAAGGTCAACCCACCTCTGCCCCTGCGTCCCCAGGACAGGCTTCTAGTCTCTCTTCCCACCCCCATTTCCTAAGGTAGCATTGGATGGCAAAGGTCTGGCTCCAGCCCTCTCCCCCTTTTCTGTTTCCCATCCCAGGCTAAGCCCCCTCTCAGGCCCTGGGTCCTTTTGTCTCCTGGAGCGCAGGTAAAAAGTGATGGGTTGAGGTGGACCCTCTGCAGTCCCTTTTCTTCCTTAACCATCCCCTGCCTGCCAAGACACCCATGCCTCATCCTTTCCTATCTTCTCCCCTCCCTTCCTCTCTGCCTCCTTTCCTCCCTCCCTCCCTCCCTCCCTCCCTCCCTCTTGGAATTTGTCCCCTTTGCTCCCGGCCCTAGTTAGGGGTGGGGTGAGACAGAGGGAGGTTAAGGCCTTTTCCTTGCTGTCTCTTACCTTTCCACACGGCTCATCTAGGCAGTGCACACGGGCCGCCAGTCTATTTAATAGGGAGCCCATGGCATTCTGGTCCATAGAACTTTGGTTGGAGGTGAGCACGGTCAGTAGGCTGGCAGGTGTTGGGGTTGTCCCCAGGGCTATCCCCAGCCATGCCCCCAGCCAGAGACAGACCACACTCCACATAACTCAAGTTTCCAGAAGACTCTTGACAAGGATCAGGGTAGGTTTGGGGGGGGGGGGGGGTTGCTAAAGATTTCCTGGAGGTGGAGGTGTGGTCTTGGGGGCTGGACTATGGATCTCTGGGGGCCTGGTTGAAGCGGGGAGTGGGAGCCTCCTGGTGTAGATCTTGGTCTCAGGAAGAGGAGAAAGAAGAGGACTGCACTGCAGCTGGCCACAAGAAGTCCTGGGCCAGGGCAGGGCTGGGCTGTAGAGTTCTTGGGGAATCTCCCAAGCAGGTATTTCCTGCCAGGCACTGTGATTGGCTGCTGCTCAGATGGCCCCAGGTTAACCATTCCAGCAGTTGACCCTCCCTAGATAGAGCAGTTAGAACTATCCAGCCCCCATCTCCTCATTCTCTCTCTCAGCACCTGGCTTTCACTCCCCTCTCTTTTGGGGAGCCTAAACTTTCAGTCTGTTTGTCCCTACCCTTTCCTCTCTGTTTCACGGACCTACAGGATTATTTCCCAAGCCAATGACCACATGCAAAATCTCTCCCTTTCTTTCCTTCCTTCCTTCTTCCTTCCTTCCTTCCTTCTGTTCCCTCTGGCTTCTTCTTGTTATACAGCCCCTTGTCCTGTGAGATCTGTTCCTCTCATCTATGTTTACTGAGAACCATTGTTAAAAATAAGCTTGACGCCTAAAATTTAGTATCAAGAAAGTTGATTACCGAGAAAGTCCAGAGGATTAGAAGTTTCTGGCCAGAAGTGGGCTCCACCCCTCTTCAGGAAGGATGGGTCAAGACACCCATGCCTCGTCCTTTCCTATCTTCTCCCCTCCCTTCCTCTCTGCCTCCTTGCCTCCCTCCCTCCCTCTTGGAATTTGTCCCCTTTGCTCCCAGCCCTAGTTAGGGGTGGACTGAGACAGAGGGAGGTTAAGGCCTTTTCCTTGCTGTCTCTTACCTTTCCACACAACGCATCTAGGCAGGCTCTAGGCCGCCTTCGACCACGTGCCTAGATTGGGAGTGGCATTGAGGTTGGGAATCTGGATGTAGCCCGAGGCTATCAGACCAGTAAAAGACTATGACGGGCTAGCATAGATAATACAAAAAAAGCCAGTCTAGAGGGTTGGGAGTGGCCCCAGGAGAATGTTGGACCTGGTGAAGGGGTCCAGAAAGAAAGAAAGATTTTTATTGGGCCTATTTCAAGTTTTTAATATACTGCTTACATAGTTCTGAATTTTCTTATATGATGTAATCTGGTAAGCAATTGTATTAGTTATGTTGTTGGAAAGGCAATTTATTTTATGATCTGGAATGTTAGATTAAGAATTGTGCCTTCAGAGAAAAGAGAAAAAGGAATGAGTGGAGCTGTTGGGGCATTCTATGTGATCCCATTTTGTAACATTTCCTTTTAAGTACTGTAATTTAAGAAATAAGAACTTCGGGGCAGCTAGGTGGTGCAGTGGTTAGAGCACCGGCCCTGAAGTCAGGAGTATCTGAGTTCAAATCCGGCCTCAGACACACAACAATTACTAGCTGTGTGACTCAGGGCAAGTCACTTAACCCTATTGCCTAACCAAAAACAAAAAACAAACAAACGAAAAAAAAGAAATGAGAACTTCAAAGTTTTGTCTGTGTTTAAAGGGAAAGTTTTAGCTGGGATTGTTTGACTCTCATTTGTGAAGTTTAAAATTGTTAACTAAGCTATGTTTAAGTGAAGTATTGGTAGAAGTATTTTTGTGTGTGTAAAGAAACTATGTAATTATGCAAAGAAAGAGATTTTGTAAAATCTCAATTCTTATCAATCCTGTGCAGGAGTTTTTGTAAGATGTAACTCTTACTGATTAAGTGGCCCATTGCAGACACCTCTGGACTAAAGAAATTAGGTAACTAGGAATTTTATGGTGATAATCATTTAAGATCAATTGAGCCCCAATAAGGGCCAAAAACCTGAGTTGATCTTTTCTTCCTGAGTGAGCTAAGAATGCCCCTGCCTGTGCAGACAGCTAAAGCTGATCAAGAGCATTATTATGTTCATGAAATTTGATTTTACTCAGGATGTTATTAAGAGCCAGAATATGTGAAGGAAGTTATGCAAATTACTTAGAGCTCACTTTGGAGATGTTCCCTAATTAATGTGAAACTATAGTCACACCTGAAGCTCTGATGAGGGGAATTTGCTATCTAAGACCTTGGAAACTGTTAATGAACTGTTGTTTTGAGTCCAACTCCAGGTATGATTAACAAGGAGCTGATTGAGCTACTGATCCATGACGTCAGCAATCTGCAAAGAGGTTTGTGAGCTGCGTCTATGAGCTGCAAGAGGGTGTTCTCATGGGAATGTTGAGAGAATGACTTTTCTGCATGGCTGAGGTAGGATTCTCCTGACTCAATTTCCCCACTATGACACCTGGCAGACTTTAAGCCTGGCTCAATGCAGTTGGTCATATATATGTAACCTCTGCCTGGAGTTGACATGAATCTAGGGAAGCATTGTTCCCTTACTTTAGTTATGTTCTTTCATGGCAAATTCCTACAATAGTAAGTTTGTAAGCATAAATGTCAAATCTATTAAACAATAGATTGATGCGGGAACATCTGAGGTTATTATAGTAAGATGCAAGTATAAGATTGAGTTATTTGGCCTGGAATTTCAGAATAGTATTCAGTCTTGACATCTGTTACTAGTATATTCCTGTATAAGTCAGGATCCTTTAGTTTCTCATAATGGTTATTATGAGGTCTGGAGGTTTGGAGGTGCTGGGACTCCAGGGTCACAGCACAAGGGTTCCTCCTGAAGGAGTTCAGTCTAGGTCTTTCAACCAGGGGGGAAGTTTGTTGTAGATAATCCATATAGGCCAGGTGACACCCATAAGGACAAGCCGGCTGAGACTGGCATGAGAAAGTCTCAGCGTTTAAATGGGGGCCAGGGTGGATCTTACATACACTAAAGTAACTTTGAATGACCAGAGGAGGGGCTGGGAAAAGGGTCTAGGGGAGAATTCCGACTGGAATGTCTGAGAGATTGAATAGACAATGGGAATAGATAATGAAGGGTACTGGAAGGAAGAAGTTTGCAAGGCATCTGAATAAGATCAAAAGGTGGGGCTAAGGCTTTCAAAGGAAGATGAGGAGTTGGGGCCCATGGACTAATGGGAGCCAGATTCTTTCTGGGGCAAGGGGGTGAGGGTCTTGACTTGGACCCATACCCTATCATTAGGGGATAATTAGACCAGGAGACTGTGGAACTAGGATATTACTCTATTACTTAGTTAATACTTAATGTTAAAGTTGTCTCAGTTTGTTACAATTAATGTTAAAAGAGGAATAACTTATGGCTTATCTTGTAAATGCCTTGAAAGAAGCATCTATTTTAATTAAGGACTATTTAGTTGTACATGACTAGAAGTTGGGATTGTTTTGTTATTTGATATGTACTTAACTACTATGTATTGGAGTGTGTTATTAATTCCTTAATGGAATCTCATCCTCCTGATGGGGAATATAAATAGGAATGAAAAGTGAACTAATGCAAGGTATAAAACTAGAAGTGATGCAGAGGGTAAGGCTAGGTTCTAATTTTTTTTAATTAATTTGAGTTTCTTGAAACATGACAATTGGACAAAGTTTCAATTTTGATCTTGTAATGGTGAAGACATAGGGGTTGAGTTAATTTTCATTATTTGCCCTGGTTGTTGGCAAGGTAATTTAAAATAGTGTTGAGATCAATCTTGTAGGAGAGAGAGGACATAAGAAGGAGGATCTCTGCAGGAGGGGAGTCTGCTGGACACTGTTTGAACAGCACTTAGACAAGAAAGAAGACTTCACTGGATGATGTCCAGAGTGTCAGCTGTATGAGAAGAGACTTCTGAAGCTTTAAATGGACAGTTTATCATTACTTTCGGGTCTCTGTATCTGTACTTAATAAGGGGACTGCCCCCTTTTTACTTTGTCAATATGTCGGTCAACTCCTCCCTCGCTTCTCCCATAATAAGTCCCCAAAATCCCTTGATGAAATATGGCCCAACAGCACAGTCCCAGTTAGAACCATCACTAAGGCACTGCAAGGTTTAACCACTTTAGCTGAGGAGTTGGCAGAGGACAGTGAGATAGATAACTGACTAAAGGGGTGGTTAGAGTCCTGGTTTGGCAAATGGAAGGGTACAGCAGCATCCATCATCACCTCTCTGATCTTGCTGCAGGAGTTTTAACTGTAGTAGGGTGTTGCATCATCCCTTGTATCAGAGGACTAGTGCAAAAATTAATAGAAACAGCACTAACTAAAAGTACCCCAATGGGACCGGCTATGGGAGTTCAGGTAACACGATCTGGTGGAGTTAGGATGATGATGGAGAGAGTTAATGATCATTCCTCCCCCTCTGATGAATAATGCAAACTAATGCTAAAACGCTTTGAGGAAAGACAACAAGAACAAAAAGTGTGGAAACATAATTCTTATTGAGAAGAAGAGGAGGGAATTGTGAGAGTCAGACTGCTTAAGTTTCCACAGAGAAAGAGAATAATGCCGAGATTTAAAGAACAAATTCAAGAAGTAGTACACTGTAGGTGGGCAAGGGCTTAACCTATAAGAAGTAAGTTGATGGCTCCAAAAAAGACTCCAAATCTCCAAATTCAAGATAAGGATCAGAGCCAGCTCAGACCAGTTGGGGTCAACCTGAGAACACCTGAAAAATGTTAGTGTGCCTGCTTAATGAACTTCATTACTATTATCTGACACACCCCGCATAAAATTAAAGCCTCATTAACGAGTCAGGGGAAATATGACCAAGAGAGGGGGAACATACTTGAGCATATCAAGGGGAAACATGTAAGGAGGGGTGTAACCCGGGAAGGGATGGACCACCATCCCTTGGCCAATCCATGGCCTGGGAGGTTTTGCGCAGAATTTGGATGCATAAAAGCACGCTTGCCCTAGCACTCAGGGCCCACCCCTCCTGAAGAGGGGTGGAGCCCACTTCTGGCCAGAAACGTCTAATCCTCTGGACTTTCTCTGTAATAAACTTTCTTGATACTAAATTTTAGGTGTCAATCGTATTTCTAACACCATGAAAGCCTGAATTCCCCCACCAAGCTGGGGACAGCTCACGGTCTCCTCCCTGGACTACCCAGGAGCTCATTCAACTCTGATCAGGCCATGATATTAATGCAGACAGGCAGAGACAGCCCATGGCATGCCAGCTCCAGTCTCACCGGATGCTGGGCCTGGGAAATGGTGCTCCTGAGTGTTTGTGCCTCCATATTACAGACTTTACACAAAGATAAACACAAATTTACATAAAAACATGGATAGGCAAGCTCAGATTGACAGAAACACAAAGACAACCGTCTGTTTTTAAGTCAGGTTCCTTAGACCGGTCAGGCCCCAGCCCAGACAGGGCAAAAGAACAACAATCTTTCCTGAATTTCACCCTGTCCTCTGGGCCATGTGCTTTGGGGGAGGCAGTGGAGAATTGGGGTCTGGGTCACAAACTCTTCCCAGAGTTCACGCCATCCAGGTATGGATGTACAAGTACCAATACAGGTACTTGTACTACCTCCTCCCCCTTCCTCTTTCTCCCTTTCCCTCCCTTTGCCTCCCCTTCCCTCCAGAGTCACATCTCAGAAATTCTCCTGTCAGCAGAACTAGTTGTGGGGGAATAAACAGGAAGAAAAAAGGAATTGGCAGGGAGAGGGGCTAGAGGAGAGAAAGTTTTGCTGTCCTGGAACCAGAGCACACAATTCCCGGGGGTCTCACGGCACTGGGCAGGGAGCCGCAGACACTCCCCTCTGTTCTCTCCTCTTCCCACTTTCCCCCTCCCCAAAACCTTTCTAGGCCATGAGTAGAAGCAGTCTAGGAGAGGCAACTAGAATTCCTGAATTTTGCCATTTCCTTTCCACTCTTTCACAATTCTAAATACCAAAGCAGGGAAGGGTGGACAGGGTGTGGGTTGGGGGGGGGAGTTGACCTGGTTGTTAGGAACTGAGTGCAACTGGGGAAGGGTCAGAAGTGGGAGGGACCTCATAGACCTTGCAGTCCAATGAATACCTGAAACGAATTCCCTCTATTGCACACCCAAGTGGACATTCAATCTTCTCTTAAAGATTTACTAGTAGGAGAAAATCCATTATCTCCTTTCCAAATTTAGATAGCTCTCATTCTTAGGAAGTTGATTCTGCTATCAAGCCTTGGGACTCTTTACAAGTCCCACCCATTGTCCTTGTTTTGCTGTCTGGGGTCTAACGGAAAAGTGTTATCCTTCTTCCCAATCTTTCCAAGATAATATTTGTCTTTCTCCAGTATATTTGAAGAGAGGAGGTAGGCTAGGGATCTTGGGCTGGTTAATAGTGTAGGGAACTCTTGGGGTCCCT